AGGTAATCGGAGGGCGGAACTCAGATGCTTTGGGTGTGATCGAATCGGTCATATATCACGTAATTGCCCAAACAAACGACCAGAAGGAAGAAACCCTCGTCGTTTAAACTAATTCGGGCCGCCTCTAGAAAACACAGCAACCCAGAAAGACAACGATCTATAAACGCTGTGTATGTGACAATTAACGTTTGTAATGAGGAAACTCAGTTTTTATTAGACACTGGGGCGGCCGTGACAATTTTGTCCGAGAGAATTTTCAATAGGATGCAGCATAGGCCAATGTTGAATAGCCACCTCGTCCCATTACATCTACAGTCAGCCAGCGGTACGTCTATAAAACTCCATGGAGTCTGCGACCTCGACTTGCTCATTGGAGAGAAGGTTTATCCATGGGCGGTGCATATCGCAGACATAACCGACGATGGGTATCTAGGATTCGATTTCCTATGTCACTATGACTTTTCATTTTCAATCAAAAGGGGTCTCAACCTACATAGAGACAAGGTGCCAGTAATAACAAAATGTGTAAATTCAGTGACTCAACAGGACCAGTCTTATTCGTTAGTAGAAAACGGTGAGCTCAATGAGGAAGAGGACATCATTCCATTATCCACCACTAGTAACCAGTTGCCAGCAGCAGCTGTTGTGAAAATCAACATGGTGACGACTCGCAGTAAAATGTATCCTCCCGTGAACCCACCTAAGCCCTCGCCCGGAGGAGCAACCACAAGTGATACTGGTCGAGCAAACTGCCCTGTGGACACGCCCCTCGTACCAAGCCAACCTATCCAATTACCTTGCCCTGAGTCGACATCAAACAGAAATGATCGGAATGCTGACCGAGAGCCGGTTGTAGTGTTATGTGCAGACAATAGTGACTATAAATTCTTTGAAGGGTTAGACATATCCAAGGAAGATCTGAGAAGATTACAACAGGAAGATAATGACTTGAGTCATGTTTTTAAGTGGATCAAAGACAAAACAAAACCAAAAAGAGAGGAAATTAGTGGAGAATCGCCGGCTGTTAGGAACCTTTGGTTAAACCTTGATTTACTTATTGTTGTGGATGGAGTTTTATGTAAACGATGGTTTCATCCGGGTCGGAAGGATGAAATATTGAAAATTATGTTGCCTAGATCTCTTGTAAGCACAGTGTTAAAGAAAATGCACTCGTCAGTTTATGCTGGCCATCTCGGCATAAATAAGGTATTGGATAATGTCAGGACATACTACAGTTGGTACAGAATGAAAAGGGATGTGCAAACGTTCATCACCAACTGTGCCACATGTCAGCACATCAAACGCCCCCAAGCCAACAGTTCAGCCAGGTTACAGTCCTTTCTTACAGGATCACCACTACAAAGAGTGTGCA